CTAAAGTAGAATTTTCCCATTCATTTGAATGGGGCAAAACTTTCAAAATAAAGCTATATATTTCAAAGGTATAAGGTTTACAAAAATCCTGAAGAGAAGCATGAATGTCCTTGAAGAGCTGAACATTTTGATAGCTGAAATTATGCTGAAATAGAATCTTCCCATTCATTTGAATGGAGCAAGATTTTCAAAATAAAGCTAAATATTTCATAAGTATGAAGTTTAGAAAAGTTTTGCATAGAAGCATGAATGTCCTTGACGAGCTGAACATTTTGATACCTGAAAGTATGCTGAGTCTAGAATTTTCACAAGTAGTTGTGAATGTGAGGGAGGGAGAAGGGAAGGGGGAGAGAGACAGAGAGAGGAGTTATGTAGGGGCATGTCCCAATTGCGCTGCATTTTATGAACCACCAGATGGCACTCCAAGACTGTGTCATTGACTCAGCACTTTGAGCTCCCATTGACTTGTATTGCAAAAAATAAAGCTGAATCAATTAAACTGTATAAATGTCATAAAAAAGATAAGTACAAGCAGGGATGTCCTTGAAGAGTTGAACATGTTGATACCTCAATGGCCTGTATAGCTGAAAGTATGCTGGACTTATAAAGTGCAAAAAAAGGGTGGAAGATCCCAGAATAATAACTAGAAAAATGCATTTCCTGTTGAAAATGCGTGTGGATGCTATGTGCTGAAGGATCACCCTGAAAATGCTGAACATTTTGACACCTGAAAGGCATATCTACCTGAAAGTATGCTGAAGTACAGTTTTCCCAATATTTTGAATGGGGGAAATTTTTCAAAATAAAGGTAAATATTTCAAAAGTATGAAGTTTAGAAAACTTCTGAAGAGAAGCATGAATGTCCTTGAAGAGCTGAACATTTTGATACCTGAAATTATGCTGAAGTAGAATTTTCCCATTCATTTGAATGTAACAAGATTTTCAGAATAAATCTAAATATTTCATAAGTATGAAATTTAGAAAACCTCTGAAGAGAAACATGAATGTCCTTGAGGAGCTGAACATTTTGATAGCTGAAAGTAGAATTTTCCCATTCATTTGAATTGGGTCAAGATTTTCAAAATAAAGCTAAATATTTTAAAAGTATGAAGTTTACAAAAGTTTTGAATAAAAACATGAATATCCTTGAGGAGCTGAACATTTTGATAGCTGAAATTATGGTAAAGTAGAAATTTCCCATTCACTTGAGTGGTGCAAGATTTTCAGAATAAAGCTGAATATTTCAAAAGTATGAAGTTTAGAAAACTTCTGAAGAGAAGCATGAATGTCCTTGAAAAACTGAACATTTTGATACCTGACATAGCTGAAAGTATGCTGAAGTAGAATTTTCCCATTCAGGGAATATGGCAAAATTTTGCTAAAAAACACAAAATAGTTCAAAAAGTGATGTTTAGGAAAATTCTGAAGTGATCCACGCATGTCCTGAAGAAGCTGAACATTTTGATACCTGAATGGTTTTTCTAGCTGAAAGTATGCGAAACTAGCTAAGGGCCAAAAAACGTACGGAATAATAATAACAATAACTAGAAAAAATGCATTCTTGGAAGAAAATGCGTAGGGATGCTGAGTGCTGAAAGATCGCCCTGAAAATGCTGAACATTTTGACAACTGAATGATTTTGCTACCTGAAATGATGCTGAAGTAGAATTTTCCCATTCATTTGAATGGAGCAAGATTTTCAAAGTAAAATAAATATTTTAAAAGTATGACGTTTAGAAGACTTCTGAAGAGACCCATGAATGTCCTTGAAGAGCTGAACATTTTGATATAAAAATCTTCAACATCCAAACATTATGAACTTCAACTACTGTAGAAGTTGCTGCTGCAGCTGGATGGTCTTTCTATTTTGTGCATCTTATGCTGTTATCAGACAGCTGACAGGGGGTAGTGGTAGTAGCGAGGTGGCAGGAAATAAGAGGAGAGAAGAAAGGTTCCTGGCTGAACAAGAAACAGGGATTTTGTGGTTAATGGTGGACACCTTGACCCCTAAACCAGCAGGATGCCTCACATGGTCTGACTCAAGCCATCACTGTATTTATACATGAAATTCAGCGGTAATAATTTTTTTTTAAACACGCACTATGCTTTTCAAGGTTGAAAATCATATGCAGTGACCACTGATGACTCATTGTGTTAGTTCATCTGTTCAGGTGTAGGGAGGGTTTGTGCTGATGTTATGAGTGAAGCAGAAATTCTTAACTGTTTATAACTTGTTTCTCACTAAGTCACAAGCCTGCTCGTATGTTTTTGGGATAACCCACAACTTGGCTACCAGCACTCCTGTCATATGACATTCTGCTCTGTACTCATTAAATAACAGTCAGCAGAGGTTTTCCTTCCCCCTGTCTCTGCCTGTCACTTATAGCCAGTCCCACCATCCTATCATTGTAATGGCAATATGGATTATTTGCATGTGCAACTCAGTTGCAGGATTCAGTGCTGATTAAACAGGGTATATAATTAGAGGTCTTGTAAGTTGTTTTTTTAGGCTCTTGATGACAATGCTGTGTGGTATTTGATGTGTGTTTTTTGCAGATAAATATAGAGTAGCAGGAACCAGTTTGTTATTTTATTATCTGTTTATGCTGGTGTTTATTTTCTTGAGGGGAGGGGGATACTTGTTACGTACTTGTTGGATGTTACGTCAACGGCTGAAAGATCAAAGGACTCAGCCAACGATAAAGTTTGGTTTGCAAGTTTATTTCACTCGACGATTTCACAGAACCGGAGACACATTAAAACCATTTTGCTGCCCGTACATCCACTGACGATCCTCTGAACGTGACCAGATGCATTCAACAGGACAGGTGCAATTTTTAATTATGCTACGTATTCAGCAATATGCGAGGCTCGCAACTGTGATCTCTAAAAGAAATGTGTTACCAACGGATTACTTTGGATATCTCAAAAACTAAAACCCTCGAGAACACCATCTCTCCTTACAGGTCAAAGTAAGTGTACAGTTTATAATTTTAATCCCAAACCATAAATGTGAGACATAAAATTTGCCATCGAAATAATTTTCCACATTGTCTGTTCGTTAGCTAATCTCTGATTTACAAAAAAACTCATATTAATCCTAATCTGACCCCAGAAACACACACACTTTCCCGGTCTCACGTACAGGCTGCACTCTGGATCACCTACAATAAATTCACAACTATTTTGATAATCGTATAGAAATAACATGAAAAGGTGAGAAAAAGGAATTAAGAAACAGGTAGAGAGGAGGAGAGGCAATGAGTTGGGTGCATAATGGCATCTTAACATCTCGAACGGGTAAGTATAATTTTATTTGCTTTAATTACATTTTATATAGTAGTCATGAACCAATCATCTGTGCCTTAGTTTTTTAAAAACTGAGCTACAGCTCCTCTGGTCTTCTATTTATCTTTCAGAGTGAGGAGAGAGGAAGTGATGGAGGGCAGGATGAAGTGTAAGACCTTTCATGTGCACGGTAAATATCAGTTTGTCTAATGATGTTAACGATTTTATGTAGTCATCGGTTCCCATTTCATATGAATTTCTAAATATTCCATTTTGTCTTATACAGTCAGTCTTGTGAGGGGCGACCTCAGAGGGTTCCCGCCCCCCAGTGTGCGCGTGGCCCTGGTCCGGTACAAGCCCCCGC